AGTTATAGTAATCAAGACAGTAGAGTGCTAGAATTAAGAAAATCTCTCAAACCAATTAAATAGAACTGAAATAGAACCCATCCCCAGTTATGTATCAGATAATCTTTTACAAAGAACTACACATATGAAATGGAGCAAGGAAAGCATTTTCAACAAATGGTATTAGGAAAGATTCAGTCACATTTAAAAGGGGAAAAAAAGAAGAAGAAAAAAGAACCCAGAACACTATCTCACATAATGCATGTACATTCAAAGGGGATTCAAGACCTTTAGCTCAAACCTGAATCGATCAGTGGTATTGAGGAAGACATAAGTAGATCCCTCTGTAATATTAAATCTGGATATATCTTCAACGTTTCAATGCCATTGGCAAAGAAAATGAAAGCAAAGATAAATGAATAAGAGCACATCAAAATTTTAAGAAGTATTTGCACCGTTAAAGAAATGTCAACCAGAATCACATCATCTCAGAGACTGGGAGAAAATACTTTCCCACTATCCCTCCAACAAAGGTTAATATCAAATGTACATAGGCACTGGTAAAACTTAACAACAAAATCAAGTCAATCAAATCAGTCCTCAGAGATGACATGAGGTCATGAGTGAGGTCATCAATGCATTAAGTAATCAAAATACTAAGTGTATAAAACCCCTACAAAATCTGGGGGTGCGGTGCGCATAGGAGAGAGGGGGAGGGAGGGAGGGAGGGAGAGAGAGAGCAAAGAGAGGGAGGGAGAAGAGGAAGGAGAGGAAAAGAAAGAGAGAGAGGGAGATAGAGAAAGAAGAGATGAGAGAAAGAAGAGGGAGGGAGGCAAAGAGAAAGAGGAGAGGGAGAAGGGAGAGGGAAGAGGAAAGAGAGATGTAAGGAGAGGGAATGAAGGAGAGAAAAAGAAGAATAAAGAAAGGAGGGAGGGAGAGAAAGAGATAGAGAGAAAAGAGAGGGAGAGAGAAGAGGGAGGAGAGGGAAAGAAGGAGAGAGGGAGAGAGAGAAAGAAGAGAGGGAGAGAAAGAAGAGAGGGAGAGATGAAGAGAGAAGGGAGGGAAAGAGGAATAAATAGCGGAAGAGAGAGGGAGGAAGAGAAGAGATGGAGAAAGGAGGAGGAGGAAAGAGAGATGAGAGGAGATGGAAAGAAGGAGAGAAAAAGAAGGATAAAGAAAGGAGGGAGAGGTAAGGAGAGAAAGAGGAAAGGGAGAAAGGGGAAGGGAGGAGAAAAAGGAGAGGGAAGGGAAAGAGGGATAGAATGGGAGAGAAAGGAGAGAGAAAGAGAAGAGGTGAGATGGAGAGAGGGGGAGAGAGGAAGAGAGAGGACAGAGGGAGAGAAGAGAGAAAAAAGAAAAGAGAGAGAGAGAGGTATAGGAGAAACTCAGAAACTTCCTCTCCTAACAAATTCCGTGTCCCATTTCCATTTGGGGTTGGAGTTGGGATATCCAGCCATGCTCAAGGTTTCCTCCTGAGTCTTTATACAGGTCCCTGGTGCAGGATTCGCTGACAGTATGTGGCGCTGGGTATTGAACTGGTCATCTGCATGAGGCAAACAGCCCATCTGTTGTCTTATCTATTAGGCCTGACGAATTCAGTATTTTAAAAGTGATATTTGAAAAGCATTGATCAACACTGCCACGTATTGTTTGCTGTATTTTAGAGAATGCCACTAAAGTTAGTTGCAACTAAAGTTTAGAAAACAATTATCTTTTATTATTATATAAAAAAATAAAAATATAGCAATCCCCTTTCTGTGATATGGTCTCAGTTATCATATGATATAAATAACAAGATCTAAAAGATGGTGTATTCTAGCTCAACTTTTTCTTTCAAATTCTCCTGGGATTACTTGGCACCTAAGGTAGTAAGCAGAGACTTGATCTTAAAGGAATTTAGCCATTTGCTGACTACTGCTTTGGAATAAACAATAGAGTATACTATTTTTGATTTGTGAAATAGGATAGAAAGGTGTATATACATTAGATTCTAATATAGCCTGGAATTTTTTTTACCCTAATCTATTTCAATATAAACCATTTTTAGAAGAGAGATTAAATTTAATCTTTCATTAGTGATTATAATAAAGCCATTATTTTAGAAAATTTAATAAAAACAATCATTGAACTTCAATTAGCCACTAAGCCTTGAATAATCGTGGCAGGAAGCTGGCCTAACTTGATAACACAATACAGATATCAGAGAAATCATTGGTTGCTAGGATATCAAGTTCTGATTATATAACTTGGATCACTTTTTCATCCTTATCAAGATCATCTTCAGTTTCCCTTTTTATTTTTTAGAAATAAAACAAACAAACAAAAAGAAATGAAGAACAAATGAGACTCCTGGCTGAGTTAATAATAAGGTCTTGATAATAAAAATGTCCCTTGCAGAATCATTTCAGTTCTATCCATCTGTGGTCCTATCTCCTACTGTCTCTGGCTGAGTGGGTGGATAACTTTCTGGATAATAAGGTAGGACCAAATACCGCGAGGCCTGAGTTCCACTACCTCTCTCTGTCCTGCAGCACTAGCCGTATTGAGGCAGTTGTGTACTTTAAATCAGCATCTCCACTACCCAGAAAGTATCTCAAGAGAAGGGATAGTGTCTTCACCATCACCACAAATCAGTATCTATTTATCCGAACCCCAAGAAAGCCTCTGACAATCCCAGCAAGATACATTGGGAAGGAAAACACAATCCGGCAATGATGGAGCTGGTTTCCAGCTTACAGGACTACATGGGTCCCAGTTTGTTTTTCTGAATCAGGAATAACACATTTTTCCTTGAATAATAGAAAAGTGAAGGGCTAGGAGTATGGCTAAGTTGTCAAGTTCTGTCGTCAAGTGTATGTGAGGACCTGATTTCTGTCGCTAGCATGCGAAATAAATAATAGCACTGCTCTGTCCTCCTGTGGTTCATGAATTTGCTCGAGCGTGCACCAGTAACGTCTCCATTGTGAGACTTGTTGTTACTGTTTTTGGCATATCAAATATACCACAGGGAGTGTGCCAGGCTCTGCCATGCGGGCGGGATACTCTCAGTAGCTTGCCGGGATCTCCGAGAAGGACTGAGAAATCAAACTCAGGTCGGTCTCATGCAAGGCAAATGCCCTGCCCGCTGTGCTATCACTCCAGCCCCAAATAAATTCTACTGATAAAAATACAAAATCAATATATTATGTTCTTTAGAACTTGTTTACAAGACCTATGCATTATCACATGGTCCTGAGAATCAGAATAATCAATTTTTTGTGTGTCAGAAATGTAGAAAAAAAGAAAAAAATTCCTTTTTCCTTTTGTCCATTTCTATTAAAACCCTTTTCAGATTTCAGGCATGTGTCCTCCAGCTGCAAACAGTGTTAGGGTTGAATGCTTCTCAGAGAAGCAGGCATTATCAGGACAGAGCCCCTGGCCAAGGTTTGTGCAGTATGGCCTGACCTCTCAGGCACCAGCCTGATGGAGACGTCTCTGGCTTGCTGCGGGGCTCCGTCTCTGTGAACACTCAGTGACAAAGAGGAAGTAGAAAATAGATGGAAAACAAACAGCAGGGAAGGGAGGTTACTAACACTCAGGGGAGGAACAAACTCAGAATCAGAGAAATTCCGTAAGGATAAGAATATAGAGAAGAAGAAGAAAGGATGGTTGAAGAAACACTGAGTGATAACATGAAGAGCATGAAGGGAGTACTGACCCGTGAGGCCCAAAAGGAGTCCAGCAGGCAACCCCAAACTGAGAAACACCAAGATGTGTTTCATAATCAGAAGGGCCAGAAACAAAGACAAAGATGGGCTCCCTCGAGCTGTGAGGGAGAAGCACACCTCACATATAGAAGAGGACGTGTCAGAGTCCCAGGAAGCAGAGTAGAAAGACATGCCCTGTGAAGCTGGGCTCTGTTAAGCTCAGTTTCTATTTGGTTTGGGGCCACACCTGGTGGTCCTCGGCACTTACTCCTGGCTCTGTCGCAGGGGTCATCCCTGGTGGTGCTCCAGGTGGGCAGGACCACATGTGGTGCTAGGGACCAAACCCAGATTTCTACAGGCAGGGCACCGGTGTAGGAGCCCAGATACCCTGGGCTATAAATGACCCATGCCATAGGCGCTGGGTACTCATTTACCCAGCATGCCTTTTGATTTTGGGTTTCTTGCAATATATCGAATCGCACTTCAGTGACCCAAAAGAGTCAGAAGATATACACATCAGTCCCTTATTCTACGTTCTCAGTCCCAGACTTCGAATCAAGGCTCTTCTCTAACACATTTTAAAGATATTCCAATTCTGGGGGAGTGGCTTGGATCGGCTCGTTTTCACTTTTCTGCACCTCCAGAGAGTCACAGGTCTCCAGACAGCAGCCTGTGACCCTTGCATGTGATAATGTGGTATCCATAAAACAGACCAAAAGCTCGCTGTTTCAGGCGTGGTTGAAGTGACCTTGGGGAATCATTTGGAACTCAGTGTTGATGAAGCTTATAAATGTCCAGTAGAAACCAGGGTGTTGCCCATTTTTTAGAAATGTGAGCAGTCTTAATTCAGATAAATTCAGCTACTCATAATTTCCTGGAAACTGACTAACATGCCAGAGCTGAGAAAGGAAATAACCACAACATATTGTTGGAGTTATTTGGGGACCATACCCAGTGGCACTCAGGGATTGCTCCTGCTGGGAAACGGGACTTTACGAGATGCTGCACAACCTCTTCATACCGCCTTGGAACGCTTATCTTATACTTGCTTCTGGGAAGGTAGAATCCTTCAACCATCTCCCTTCACCTTGCTTAACATTTTCCAGAGATGGTATAGCAGAACGCTCACTAAACAAATTGATTCACTTAAGTGAACAAGTCCTCCATTCTTCACAGAAACACATTTAATTGTAATGAATCTTAAATACATTTCCAATTAGGGGTTTAGACAGTCTGCACGTTGAATAAAGAAATCTAAAAACAGTGTTAATTTTTTCCTCTCTCTCTCTCTCCTGAGCTGTAATTCACGTTGTGTTGGGTTTTTCATATTTCCAGATATCCGTGGCATACAGGAGTTTTTGGACAAAGTGTCTCAGCAGGGGATGGATGTCGCACTTCAGAAGGTAGAAAACAACATTAATAAAATGATCACCACTCTTTTTGATACCATGAGGATAGAGGAATTGAATCGCTATCGGGACACTCTTAGGCGAGCCATTCTCATTATGAACCCTGCCACAGCCAAATCCTTCATTACAGAGGTAAGTAAAAATTGTCGTAGGAGGTGGGTAGTTCTCAAATTAAATGCTTTGGAACAGACACACAGAGGAAATGGAAATTAAGAGCATTACAAGGGAATTAACTACGCAACACTCATTAACACTAATGGAGGTGACACAGTGATTTTCTCGTGTATCACATTTACCCCGTACTGTCCAGTTAATTACTGGGAATGTTTATATTAATATATATATATATTTAGACACACAGGCCGGATGATTTTAAGAAATACTACAGGGGATTACATATGCCATTGACCTGGATGTATCAAAAACATTCAAAAATGAATCCACAAGTGTATAGTTTCCTAATACTTAAATATCCTTGTAAGTTAACAATTTTTACTTCTGAGAAAAGATAATCAGGCCATTATTGCTGGACCATGATTCCTTTTACACAACATTTTGAAAATTTGCTCTAACCGTGGCAACTCTGTACCAAGACAGATAATTAACATTTTCTGAAACGTTGCAAATGATAGCCACAGTACATTTTATAATGCCAAAGCTTCACATTTTCATAGTATCTGTTCAGCTGGCTAGAAGTCGCAAGACTTTAATACAGTTAAGGATTTTTAATGAGGGGTAAACAATTCATCTCCTAAAATGTTGGCTGTTTTCTTGCAGAAAATTATTTTCAAGTGATTTTCATCTTATTTTACAACTTCAGTTTTATATAGGATCGGAGCTGTCCGTGGCATTACATTTGGGTTAATTTTAAAGTTTTTATTTTAATGACTTTCACTAATACTTTTTCTTCGCTTCCCCACTTTGCTTTCTTTAGCACTGAAAGAAGTGCTATAAAGTCTCCAAATTAGGAATGTGTTAGAAGTTCTCTGACACTCTATAACATAATTGGTACCAAGAAGTTGGAAGTATCGTATAAATTACTGAGAATAAAACTTTTGCGAAACTGTCAATAATATCAGTTTTAATTTTGAGAGAGTTTTCTTATACCATCTAAGGAAAAATATAAGACTTTGTTCATAGAAAAGCACATACCTCAGAGTTTCATCGATCCAATAAATTTCCAATTAGAAGAAAGAATATTAGAGCATTTTCATTTTAAGAAAATTGATTCTTTCTTCAAAGCAACACAGAATCTTCCAGAAGATTAAAGCAAATACACAGGCAGGTCAGATAAATTGTAATATTAAAGTTTTAACAAATAAAGTTTAAGCACCCATGATCAATTTTTACTAGGGATATAAAAAATGTTTCCTCAAGAAGACCTATTTAATTAATAAACAGTTAAAATATATATTTATACTAAATGTTGAAATAACTGGAAAATCAGAAATTGCCAAACTTGAGGGATCTATGTGTGTATGTGCAGTTGAGGAAAGCTATGTGGGAAAATGCATGTCATGAAAGTTTTACTAGATATGCAAGTTACTTTTTGGATCCAAGACTTTTCATGAAGAGAGAAGACTATATCCATGATAGTTACTAAATAATTTTAGCATTTAAAATGTTTATTTCCTTTTGTTTGGTGAATTAAAGTAGTTAATTGGTAAATATTTCAGTAACATTAAAATGGTTAAAGTTATCAAAAACACAATGAAACTATCAAAGTATATATATATATATATATATATATATATATATATATAAGCTAAAGGTAAAAGTATATATAAACTAAGGGTATAAAATATACAATTCCCATTATGCATTAGTTTCCTCATTATAAAAATGATGTAATGACATTAAAGCTATTGTTCAAGTCAGAGGGAGAGAGACAGATATAGACTGAGTGCATTCATTTGAGTGATATATTAAAGAAAAACATAGGATGAGACTATTATTCAAGGATAATAGAAATGAGCACGAGGGGAACTGGTCTCCACAGTTGGAAGCTTGCCACAAGTGGTGTGGGCATTGGGGAGGGGCAATTAGGGCAGAGAAGGGACCACTATAACAGTAGTAGTTGGAAACCAGCATTCTTCCCAAGGATGGAAAGGAGGTACAGGATAACTCTTAAAGATGGGATGGGACACACAGAGAGAGAGAGAGAGAGAGAGAGAGAGAGAGAGAGAGAGAGAGAGAGAGAGAGAAGAAAATATCTACCATAGGATAGATATCTTCCTGAAGGAAAGTAGGGTCATTGGTGGTGGGAAATGTGTCCTGGTGGAGGGATGGGTGTTGGAACACTGTATGACTGAAACCCAACCATGAACAACTCTGTTAGTGTGTCTCTCACCGTGATTCGAGGGAGATTTAATGGTACAGAAACCCCCAACTGTTGTTCAGTCAGGGGCTGGAAAAGTAGCACAGCAATCAGGGCCTGTGGCCCCCAGCACCTTCTAGGGTCCCCCAAGCTCTAACAGGAGTGATCCCTTGATCCCTGAGCACAGAGCCAGGAGTCTGCCCTGAGCACTGATGGAGAGGGGGTGTGACCACAGGAAAAACTTAAATCAGGACTCACCTTTTAGGGAGTCAGTAAGTTGTAACTTCCACGTCAGGGGTGTCCCATTCCCTTCTTGGGCCAATGGCTGCCATGGCGTAAAATTGTGGGAAATCAGTGACTGAGATGCCTTTTACTGGTATGTAACATATCTGCAATACACAATACAATACATGCGTCATATATATGCGTAAGTTTCCCTCTGAGGGCTAAAAGGGACACCGTGGCTTCATCTTCCCCTTCTAACTGAGAGGCGGTTTCTTCCAGCATTTTAATTTGATGATCTGTAAATGCATCACCCACCATACCAGGTCAAAGGTGTGGCCCCAGCAGCCTTTGTATGTCCTGAGATACTGAGCCCCATTCCAGAGAGGCGCTTGCCTCAGAGCTGAGGGGCCCGTCCAGGGTCGGCCTGCTGCTATGAGGTGTTGCTTTATGGGGCAGAGCCTGGGCTGCACCCACTGGGTGGGCACGGCCGCCCTGAGTGCAGGGAGCGGCAGTGGGCAGCCGCTAGTGGCCGAGCCCTGTAGCAGGTCTCAGCTTAGCAGATAGAGTGTGCGACCAACCTCCTGTCTGTTCTCTGACTCAGTGCCTGCCTCGGACACGGCCTTCTCTGTGGGGTCTGCTGGAGCTTGGCCTCTCTCCCCGCTCAGTCTCCACCGGCTGCCTCTCACATGCGAGGCCGGTCTCTGTCGTTCTCCGTGTTCACAGAAGTCCAACTTCCCACAGAGCCATCTTTCTGAGGTGATCAGCCTCCTCACAGACCTTCTGGGTTCCAGTCGGCTTTTATCCGGCCCTGTGCTGTTCTCTGGTCCTGGTGTTCTTGGTGTCCCAGCAGTGCCCTGATCAGAGAACTCTTCCAGGCCCACTTCACTGTCTCCTTGATTTCATTTCCCTGATGATGTGTGATAACCTGCAGATTCCCATACGCCGGCTGGCTGCACTGTGTCTTCTGTGATGAAGTAGACACTTTAGCTCCTCTGATATTTGAAGGAGATTCTTGGTTTTCTTGTTGTTGAGTGAGTTGTGTTCCTTATGTACCCGCATCGCCCCTGTAGATGTTTGTGTGCAAATGGTTTCCATTCAAAACAATGTCTTCAAGATAGTTGAAAACGATCACTCAGGATAAGAACTGTGTGCTGAAAATAGGGAAGTCAAAGAATCAAAGAACCTGATAACCTCTCAGCATGTGTGTTGTAAACCCTGAGAGAGAGAGAGAGAGAGAGAGAGAGAGAGAGAGAGAGAGAGAGAGAGAGAGAGAGAGAGAAGAGACAGACAGGAAAGACAGAGGCAGAAATAGAGAGACAGAGCATAGAGACCAGCTTCAGGGAAGGGGAGCTGGTGGGAGTTCATTGAGTAACGATGTTCTCTGATTGGCAGACTTGATTTTTACAGGGATGAGGGGAGGGGTCTCTCAGTCTCTGGACCCTCCTCAGCAGAGCTCTCTGTGCAGGTCCTGCATCCTAGTCCAGCACATCCGTACGGCCCCATTTTTTTTTTTTGTTAATTGAGTCACGAATGGCAGTACTGGGACTGGAGTCAGACAAGCTCCAGAGAGAGCTCCCCCAGATGCTCAGGGCACTGTGCTTTGGGCTCTGTGTGATTGGTGGTGGATGACACAGTGTTGGGGAACAGACTATCCTCAGAGATCTATGTCCTTGGTTCACTCTACTTTAGATCTGGTGACCTTGGGCATAGAACTTCAATATGTAAATGTGAGGAGCTCGGAACTCTTCACCAAGAGCCTATTGATTCCTTACTATTGAACTTATGGTCAGGGAGGTGCGCGCTCAGTCACGTTCAACTGAAGCTGATGGAGTATTTTTCTCTGCACGTCAAAAAGCAGCACTTGGGAGAGGTGAGCACACCAATGAATTCACACAGCAGAGGCCACCTCTAGCAGAATGCTGCCACCAAAGGCACAAAAATGCAAAACTCAGAGTAAATCTGCCCAAAAAGAGCATGTGTTTATATGTGAGAATGAAGGACATAGTTCTTTCAACCTTAGCCTGCAGGATGGATAGCTCACACTTTTGATGACTCTGGACACTTGTGTGAATAGCTACAAAATCAAACCTAGTGTTATTTTGAAGTAAGAAATACATTTTAGGGAGCAGGAGAAATTTAAAAGGCAGAAATCAGAAAAGAAAGGAAGATCAACTGCACTTAAATATATGTGAATTTTCATATGCAGAATCCTTTTCACATATTGTATTGGGAAAAATAGTACTGAAAACCAGTATTTGTCCTCAAGGAAGGAAGGGAGGAAGGAAGGAAGGAAGGAAGGAAGGAAGGAAGGAACGAAGGAAGGAACGAAGGAAGGAACGAAGGGAGGGAAGGAACAAAGGGAAGGAAGGAGGGAGGGAAGGAAGGAAGGAAGGAAGGAAGGAAGGAAGGAAGGAAGGAAGGAAGGGAGGGAGAGAGGGAAGGAAGGGAGGGAGGGAGGGAAAGAGGGAGGGAGGGAGGAAAGGAAGGGGGAGGGAGGGAGGGAGGGAGGGAGGGAAGAAAGGAAGGAAGGAAGGAAGGAAGGAAGGAAGGAAGGAAGGAAGGAAGGAAGGAAGGAAGACCAAGTGAACAT